ATCGTATAAATTAAATTAATTATTAAAATATTAAATAAAAAAAAACCAAAAAAGTAAATAATAAAAAAAAAGTGTAGGATTCGAACTCGGAGTATCTGTGTGGTAAATTGGTACACAGGTACACTACTAACTAGGCCATATTGGTGTTGTTTGCTATGGTGAAAAATCTAGTATACATATAAGTTACACGTACAATTTCAAAGGCTTATTTCTTCAAAACTACTGGCCATTCTGAAATAAAACTTTAGGGTTCGCATGTATGTAATGTTTGCATATAAAATATGATTAAAGGTTACCAGTGTATTTACACTTTTACTGAACAAACAGAGTTGTTTAGTACTGAAAATATTGTGTGGAAGCCATCAATTACTTTCAGTGCACTTATAGCTTTGATCTTTTCCTAATTATTATTATTAAGTTTTAAAGTGGTTGAATTTTGCGTAGAGTGTTTTTATACGTTATTTCTAATTTACCATTTATTTTAAGTTTTTTAAACTCTATTCATCGAGACCAATCTAATGAGTTCAAACACGATATTTCTGCTGTAAGTTTTCGAAGAGTATGTTCATCATCTGATAATACTGGTGCCAGTATGAAGTCAAGGTTAACAGATAACTAATTACTCTTATTTCGTCAAAATCTTTAGATTACGTATAATTAATTCATAATATCGCTACCTATTCGGATCAAAACAAGTATTTTAGGTACTTCATGTACTAGTATATAAATTCATCAACACACAAGTAAATGATTTTTTAAATATATTCAGAGCCAAAAAGTTTTTGTGCATTTAAAAAATTTTGCTGACACGGAGTCACTATTGCAGGAAATTATTGAAAAAATATATATCGAGTACAGGTACTATCGACGAATACTTTATCTAGGGAACACGCGGGAACGCGGAACGGCAACATGTTCCCGTTCCGCCACGATACCGTTATAGTGGTAGAAAGAGAGAGACAGTGGAATCAGCAAATGTATCTACGGGTCGTGGCTGGATCAACATCAGTGTGCAATTAGGTGCGCGTATATATATATACATACACTTGTCTTTAATTCAAAGGAAATATAAATAATGAACGCATCACATTTAAAACAGTAATAAGTACGTAATATTATCACATTATCAAACAGTAAGTACGTAATATTATCACACGGTAACAGCACGTATTATGGCAAAAATAAACATCGGCTGATTTGAAAATATTTATTATAGTAATAATAGTAATCTCAGGACAATTCACACAGCTTCATCTAGACCCAAGTTGAGCTAGCTGAACATTGTGTTATTAATTTACGAAAAAAATCTTTGCATTTGTATCAGTTGTCTGGGATTTCGTCCGTGTGGAATTTAAATTTATTTTTCTAAAATAAAAGTAGCCTAAGTTACTCCTTATTACATCAGCTACCTGTCAAAAAAGGTCCCATCAAAATCGGTCCAGCCATTTCAGAGATTAGCCGGAACAAACAGACAGACAGACAGACAAAAATTGTATAAAAATAAATTTTAGTATATGTACCGTATTTATATTCATATGCTCGTAGTCAAAAACTATTATTTAAGAAGTTACATTCCACGCGAACGAAGTCGCGTGTACAGCTAGTTGTCGGTAGTCTAGCGATTTAGCTAGCACACCGCTTTGATTCCTGCTTGGTGGTCGAGGGTTCGATTCCTCGCACGCTGCAAACATTTGTATTCATGAGTATGATTGTTTGTAACGGTCTGGGTGTTTTCTACGTATAGATAATATATATTAATTTACGAAAAAAATATTTGTATTTGTATCAGTTGTCTGGTACCCATAACACAATGTTCAGCTAGCTTAACTTGTGTCTAGATGAAGCTGTGTGAATTGTCCTGAGATTACTATTATTACTATAATAAATCTTTTCAAATCAGCCGATGTTTATTTTTGCCATAATACGTGCTGTTACCATGTGATAATATTACGTACTTACTGTTTGATAATGTGATAATATTACGTACTTATTACTGTTTTAAATGTTATGCGTTCATTATTTATATTTCCTTTGAATTAAAGACAAGTTTATATATATATACGCGCACTTAGTTGCACACTTATGTTGATCCAGCCACGACCCGTAGATACATTTGCTGATTCCACTGTCTCTCTCTTTCTACCACTATAACGGTATCGTGGCGGAACGGCAACATGTTGCCGTTCCGCGTTCCCGCGTGTTCCCTAGATAAAGTATTCGTCGATAGTACCTGTACTCGATATATATTTTTTCAACAATTTCCTGCAATAGTGACTCCGTATCAGCAAAATTTTTTAAATGCACAAAAACTTTTTGGCTCTGAATATATTTAAAAAATCATTTACTTGTGTGTTGATGAATTTATATACTAGTACATGAAGTACCTAAAATACTTGTTTTGATTCGAATAGGTAGCGATATTATGAATTTATTATACGTAATCTAAAGATTTTGACGAAATAAGAGTAATTAGTTATCTGTTAACCTTGACTTCATACTGGCACCAGTATTATCAGATGATGAACATACTCTTCGAAAACTTACAGCAGAAATATCGTGTTTGGACTCATTAGATTGGTCTCGATGAATAGAGTTTAAAAAACTTAAAATAAATGGTAAATTAGAAATAACGTATAAAAACACTCTACACAAAATTCAACCACTTTAAAACTTAATAATAATAATTAGGAAAAGATCAAAGCTATAAGTGCACTGAAAGTAATTGATGGATGGATTGATTGATTGATATCCACAGAATATTTTCAGTACTAAACAACTCTGTTTGTTCAGTAAAAGTGTAAATATACTGGTAACCTTTAATCATATTTTATATGCAAACATTACATATGCAAACCCTAAAGTTTTATTTCAGAATGGCCAGTAGTTTTGAAGAAATAAGCCTTTGAAATTGTACGTGTAACTTATATGTATACTAGTTTTTTCACAAGAATGAACAAAAGCAGAATGGCCTAGTTGGTAGTGTACCTATGTACCAACTTACACACCCCGGGTTCGATTCCCACCATTGACTATTGTTATTTACTTCTTTTTGTTTTTTTTTAATTTAATATTTTAATAATTAATTTAATTTATACGAGAAAAACGTAGTTAAGTATTAAATTAATTTTACTAGTTAGGAGTGTACCTGTGTACCAACTTACCACACAGACACCCCGGGTTCGATTCCCACCATTAACTTTTTTTTTGTTTTTTTTTTAATTATATTTAAAATTAACTATTTTAATAATTAAATGAATTTAATCGATAAAAACGTTGTTAAATATTAAATAAATTTTAAGTGACATTAACTATTATAGCATGCACAAAAAATATTTTGTAATAATAAAGAAAATACATTTAAAATGTTGTTGTGTTAATTATTTATAAGATCTTACTATAATTGTTAGCTGCTTTACAATTTAGAAAGTATAATAGTTAATGTAAATTAAAATTAATTTAATACTTGACAACTTTTTGTTCGATTAAATTCATTTAATTATTAAAATAGTTATTAGTTGATTTGAAATTCAAAGGCTTATTTCTTCGAAATTACTGGCCATTTTGAAATAATACTTAGGGTTCGCATACCCTTATCGGATACTACTACTACACGGAGTTTCGTCAAAATAAAATATCTAGGTTAGGTATAATAAATTCATAATTAATAGACCGTTACGGTATCTGTATATATTCGGATCAAAACAAGTACTATGAAATAAGAACGAGTATATAAATTGATTAACACAAGTAATTGATTTTTGAAATATATTCAGAGCCAAAAAGTCTTCTTTCTTTATTTATGTACTTGTTAGATGCGACAGCGACTTTGTTTTATACTATACTATACTATGTAATGATTGATATACCTAAAATAAATAAAATATCTGAGGTTTGGACTAAAACTCAAAGGGTAATTTATTTTGAAAAAGTATTTTGAAAATACTTATTTTGCTTTTAGTGTTATAGTACTTTAAGTGTTATATTTTAAGTAACAATGTTTAATTATAATTAATACCACTGCACCAACACTCCGATCGTGCAAAAAATTTAGCTGTTTCATTATTTTTTAGTTCAATTAGTGGTCTACCTAAGTCCTGGACTAAGGGGGGGGGGGAGAGTCATGACCCCCCATGACTCCCAAGACCTCCATGACGCTCCCCCCTGGATCCGCCGTTGCGTCTTCTCTTTATTCGCTCAGTAACGTTGTTACAAAAGAAAAGATTCCCGTCCAAAAAATAACAAGTATTGAGGTTTGATCTGGAGTCACGTTACTCCAGACTGATTTCTATAAATATTTAGATTAGATAGACTATTATTCTTGAAATACTAGCTAGACATTATTAAGTTACTGTAGCCATAATGTAGTAGCCCAAACGTGCCAATGAGGAAGCCCTTGGCAAATGCTGCACCCTGATTGGCCCGTTTGAATTGGATCAAGAAGTGGTCGTATGCCAAAAAGGTGGATTTGTATAAAATCGTGTATAAATCGCTTAATTATTATTATTACTCGTCGTGACAGTTGTGGCTCAAAACGGATCAACATTTATATATGGTCAGCTGGCATTAGATCAACAAAAGGCCTCCGGATCAACAAGTGAAAATGGATCAACAAAAAACTACCTATACGGCACGTCTGAGCCACAAAGTGCCCAAGGGGATATTTATATATATATGTATATACTTTTTTGTATTAATTAGTAAAAATAACATATAAAAACTTATAGGCATTATCGCTAAGAAATCTCTTCTAAACACTCTTTACGTAGAAAAAAATGTGATAGAAATTAGCTGGTGCATGTAACAATACAAATAATATGTAAATTAAAAAAAAAACAAGGACAATTTAATGGACTTGGTATGTAAAGAAAGTAGCCCATTTTATCATGAAAGTGGTACTATTACACAATAGCAGATTCAGACATCACGAAATGTGACGTCTATCAAGATGAAAGGAAAAGGAAACCTTTTAAAATTTGAGAAAATTTAATCTATTCTTTTAGAACAGTGCAGCCACTACTATTCGGCCGGCTGCTGATGTATTGGACTGACCCGGACATGTCGCGGCAGGAGGCTGGCTTTTACGCGTTGGGCATGCTCGCGTCTAATTTCGTATCGATGATGTGCCAACACCACAACAATCTGTTCGTTATGAGATTCAGTTTAAAAGTGAAAATCGCATGCTCAGCACTCCTTTATAGGAAGGTGAGATCATTTAAGTATCTACTTAAATTGGTATAAATAAGAATTGTTTTTTTTCAACTATTGATATTATTATTTTTATGTAAACAACATAAGTATAAGTAACTAACAAGTATGCAAAGACCTAATCCCATTAAAACTGAGTTTGTGTTTCTCCTTATTATAAAAATGGCATATGTACTCGTAGTATAACGTGCACATACTTACATACCTACATCGATATATTCTTTGTGATAAAACAAATGAAGACCTATATTGATACCGTGGTAAAATATGCAATAGACTAAACAAAATATAATTATAAAATTCATACAGCGGAGACCAAACAATAATAATAACCCAGGACATTTCATACTGCGCCGTCTATTGCCAAGCTAAACAGAGTTTCTGTTATGGGTGTTATACAAATGAGAGAAATACTTAAATACATTTTTTTAAATACATACGTATATATGAAAATATGCAAACCAATTTAAGCAATTATATTAATTAATAATTGAAAACCATTGCAAGTAAGGCGGTATTCTAAACAGCTACGCCACCGATACTTATTATGATTAGATTCTTATATTGATATGCTATCACAACTTTGCAAATTTAATAATCTCCGATACATTCGTCTACTCATGAAAAGAGTTCAAAAATAGATAAAGCCAAAGATGCGTTAATGATAAAAATATGCATATTGTTTATCAAAAACCTTTGCTAGTTCTAATGATATATAATAAATCTAGGTTCTACGTATGAGTCAAGTGGCGCTAGGCGAAGTGGCTGGTGGCAAGCTAGTCAATTTGTTGTCCAATGACTTGATTAGATTCGACTACGCTTTGATGTTCGTCCACTACATATGGTTAATACCCATACAGACTGGTGTAGTCTTGTACCTTTTGTACGAGACAGCAGGATACGCACCCTTCGTCGGTTTATTCACAGTCATCATTCTTATCTTTCCCATACAAGGTAATTGTTTATATATTGTATTTTTTTAATATAACTGTTTATTTATTGTATTTTTTATGATCATAGACGGCAATATATGTTGCGAATTGGATTTAAAAATACGTATTTTTTTAAATAATAAGTGTACTCTACAAAGCTAATGGAAGGAAGCTTGCATGCAATTTCCTAGACCGTAAACTGTTACTAATATGTTACTATTTTAACAACGTCAAGTATTAAAATTGTATAATTAAGTGATAATATTATTTTTATGTATTTCAGCTGGTCTGACTAAGCTTACAACGAAAATTAGACGTCAAACAGCCCAAAGAACCGATAGAAGAATAAAACTAATGAATGAAATTATTAACGGAATTCAAGTAAGTTATCTTGTTAGAAACTGAATCATATGAGAATTATTGTTAGTTCATGAAACCTACAAGGAATGGTATATTAGTAGATTTTTTTTCATATTTATAATATTAGAGGCATTTCCTTTTCAGCATTGCGAATTATCGAATACGATTTAAAAAGTATCTATATGAAACATATACCTAATTTTGCTCAATACTGTTTACATATTCTACAGTTTATTTTTCTTTATAGGTAATTAAAATGTACGCATGGGAGAAGCCTTTCCAAAAAGTAGTGGAAATGACACGAACTCACGAAACTCGTGCCCTTACCAAGGCGATTTTCGTCAGGAGTGTGTTTATTGGTTTCATGTTGTTCACTGACAGGACCATTATGTTTCTCACCATCCTCACACTTGTTCTTGGTGGCGAAATGATTTCTGCATCTACGGTACAAATATTTTCATATTTTAACGTTCGTATGGTACCTACCATAGCTTTAATTACTTCAATTGTTAACAAGAGGCTAGTAGCTAGCATATCTTTTTTTACTATGGTTACATCATCTAAAGTTAATTTAGGATAATAGGCAGTTCAAAGTACTGAATTACTTCAGTCAGTAAATTACCAAGACATAAACACAGTGACGTAAACATATGATCGGGTTGGAGATATAGATTATTTTGATTGATATTTCTGTTTTAGATTTATCCAATTCAACAATATTTCTCAATAATTCAATTCAACATAACCATGATTCTGCCGATGCTCATTGCCTCGTTATCGGAAATGAAAGTTTCAGTAGAACGTATACAAGGATTTATGATAATGGGTATGTTTCCAATTATTATTTAAATTTATGAAATTGATATACAAAATATTATAAAATGATGACTATAATATGTAAAAAGATCTCCATATTAAAATTAATTCTACTTCCATAATAAAAAAAACGTAACATTTGAAAGTTAAAGTTAATAATAAAATATTGACATTAATAAATCGTAAGAAAGCTGCGGTTACATCATTATATTTATTTAGTAAGCAAACTACAAACTTGGACCTAACATTTCATTATTATATACTTTTTATGTACAGGTCTGAATTCCTAAAAAACGTTCTTGTTATGTATAAAAAATTACGTTTCTCATTTATTTAGATGAAAGAGACGACACAAACACACCTACAAAGGACGAAACTAACGGAACTTACAATAATAACATAGTATTCAATCAGCAAACACAATCAGCTGACAAAAATAACGTCGCTGCAAATAAATTTGAAAATGTTTCAACATTGCAAAGGACGGGTACGTATTAATTGAGTATACCTTAACCGTATTTATTTACAAGACATTTTACTAAGGCAGACTTATTTTACTAACACTGTCTAAGAAAATACTCTACAATCTATAAAATTGTGTTTATTAATGTGAAAGATTTGTTGTCTTATTAATTTTTTCTCCATAAAATGTGATATAACTTATTGGGATGTAGTGTAATTTTGATTACATGCATGGAACAATATATGAATGACCTCAACGTACTCGACGTCCTGGTCATTCTAAAATTAATGGATTACTGTTAGCTATTTTCCTTTACGCTCAAAAATGACCTGAAAGATTTAAATGTACTACTACTATATTACTACGGTACTAGAACTAGTATTATTTTTATTCGAGGGTTTGCTGCCAATTTAATAATGAAATTATAAGTTCTGGTGAACAAGCCGATTATTATTGGTATATACATCAATTTATTAGCTAGTATTTCTCATTAAAAATTGTTTATGAAGTACAATAATTATATATTTTACAGGTCGTCAACATAAGTTAGAAGATACCAGTATAGATATATCGGATGTCTCTGCATGCTGGTTAAATGAAGCCCCTGATGATGAGTGTACCCTTACTGACATTTCTATAAATATACGCAAAGGCGAACTCTGTGCAGTCATTGGACCAGTCGGTACTGGAAAGGTAAGTTATGAGAATCATATATATTTATTTCACTACTGACGACGTATACTATATGGTAATAATATAATTATATCTAAAATCATCTGAACTGTGCTATTCTATATATCATACTGATGATGTTGGTTATACACTATTAGTTGTATATTTGTCATTTCATTCTTCCTTATATATAATTTTACTCGATTTTATTTATCATTTGTTTATTTCATTGTCATTTATTACAGACCTCGCTGCTTCAACTACTGTTAAAAGAGATGCCATTAAGATCGGGCACTGTTACTGTCAATGGTTCAGTATCATATTCATGTCAAGAGTCTTGGCTCTTTGCGGGTACTGTTAGAGAGAATATTACTTTTGGATTGACGTACGATCCAGAGAAATATAAAGAGGTATATATATATATATTTTTTTTTTCTAATTTACCGCATATGTATATCGCAATATATGTTGTATATACAGTCGTAATTACATGATCTTGATTTTAAACAAAAAAAAAATTAATTCAATATTAAATTTTCCACCCATTTTCTGTTTCTAATTTCGTGAATAATCCCAATAAGTAGTATTTGTAAAGAGCAAAATAACAGCAAAATGTCTCAATGTATATAAGTTTATTGTTACATTTAACCTTTTAGCCGACATAGTGTCACTCTGGCTATGCAATTTAGGATAAATATATAACAGTTCTATATACCCACTTAAGTGATTTATTCCTTTTAGGTGTGCCAAGTTTGCTCATTGTTGCCAGATTTCAAGCAGTTTCCATATGGAGATTTGTCTTTAGTCGGTGATCGTGGTGTTTCCCTTTCAGGAGGTCAAAGGGCCAGAATAAACTTGGCCAGAGCAGTTTATAGAGATGTAAGTTTCATTATGATTAATTATTATGTGTATCTATACGTAATTACAGTATAAATTAGTCCAAAAATAACCTTACAAAAACAATGATATTCATTGTTTTTTAAGGTAAACAATGAATATGTTTAATGTGTTTCAGGCTGATATTTACCTGCTTGACGATCCGCTGTCGGCTGTTGACGCAAATGTAGGCCGGCAATTGTTCGAGGGATGTATTAAGGGATATTTGAGAGGAAAGACAGTCGTTCTTGTCACTCACCAGTTACATTACCTCAAAGCAGCCGACTACTTAGTTATCTTGAACGATGTTAGTTTTGAATTTTAACAAATTTCTTATGTTACGTCTGCTAGAAACAGTATACTAAATTAGATTAACGTTTTAGGGAACTATCGAAAATATGGGCACTTATGATGAACTCGTAAAATCTGAAAAAGAATTCTCGTTCTTGTTATCCAGTCTTCAAGAAGGTGAAAGCGATAAAGAAGTAGAAAATGTTTCAAGTGACAAGGTTGGGGATTTATTTTCATTCACATAACACAAGATATAAACTGTAATGAACTAACTATAATTTCCAATTAGAGTATGATATAGGTATATATAACGGTTAGCCATTCTGTGTAGTGTCATGAATTTAATCGAAAAACATTTTGCATATATTATTATTTTCGTCTCGTAGATATAATAATCATAATTCTCTATGTAGAAACTATACCTACGACACGGGCAGAACTTATATAATACCTATATCAGTCGAAATCAACTCACTCAATGATATCACCTACTTTTTTTTTATTTAATTGTAAAATTCTAATTACAGAAGTTTACTTCGCTAAAAATTTTACTCAGTATTATTCTAAATAAATAAACTTTACATTTTGTCGTTCATAACACAGATTGGTATTCTTTTGCAATTGGGATAGTATATGTATTTTACAATTATAAACAATTTTAGAGTGTTAAGCGAGTATCCATGAATAGAAGTGTTTCTATCAAAAGCGAAAAAGATAATCCAAATGCAGAGAAAGAACAAAAGCTGGCCGCGGAAGAAAGAGCCTCTGGCAACTTGAAGTGGGAAGTAGTGAGCAGTTATTTGAAGTCTGTCGACTCTTGGTTTATGGTGTTCCTGGCGATGGTAACTTTGACGATAACACAAGCCACTGCCACCACCGTCGACTATTGGATCAGTTTTTGGTATAAATTTTACTATTATATAGATATTCTTTATTTTGTAAACAGACTTCAGAAATGTGACGGTTTTAATAATTCGACTATTTATTTTGTGTATAAATTAAGGAGTTTATGTTTGCTGGTTATGTATAAATTTTGAGTCGATTGAAGAATTGAATTGAAGTAATTTTTATCCAGTTCCAAAATAAGCAGTAGTTAGTATGTAATCTTAAAATTCTTATATTAATTGTTTTTGATTATTATTCTTACATTTTCATTAAGTTTTTATGCCCTTGTTAGTGTAATATTAGTTCATTTAGCTCTAAAACCTATAATTATATAATTTATTTGTAATTTACTTTTAATTGTTATCCGTTGTAGGACAAACAATGTGGATGATTATATACAAAATTTACCCGAAGGCGTAAAACCTGGTAAGTTGTTTACATATGCATAATTTATTCACAAATTTATATATTATTATTATTATTATTACCTTTGTATTTATTACCTTTTCTATTTTCAGATCCTGGTTTGGATTCTCAAATAGGGCCATTAATGAATTGGCAATATATTTTAGTTCACGGATGTGTAATACTAGCCCTCATATTATTTGCACACATAAGAATCGCCACGTTCGTTTCTGTAACTATGAGAGCTTCGCGCAACTTGCACAACATGGTATTTAACAAATTAATTATCACAGTTATGCGATTTTTCGACACCAACCCGAGTGGTAAGTTTATAGTCTTATTCTGATATTTTAAATTACTGTAGACATATATTTTTTAATAGAATAGATAATGACAAATCTTAGCATAGAATTTGTAGTGATGATATTTTCTTCACCACGTAATGACAAAATGCATTAGTTTGTCTATTTGTCATTTACTTCACTAGAATAAAACTAATAATTTTTAATATATTTCAGTATTTAGTTTGTAATTTATTTGATAAAGGGTAATTTTAAATTTTCAGGTCGTATTCTTAATAGATTCTCGAAAGACGTTGGAGCATTAGATGAACTGCTACCGCGTAGTATTCTGGAAACACTACAAATGTACTTTTCCATGACCAGCGTGCTCATTCTGAATGCGGTGGCACTCCCCTGGACCCTAATACCCACAGCAGTGCTCGTGGTCGTATTCGTGCTCCTGCTGAGGTGGTACCTCAAAGCTGCTCAGGCCGTGAAGCGGTTAGAAGGCACAAGTAAGTGTTTAAACTACTAAAATATTTTTTGTTAATAAGACGTGATTAACTGATATTTGTACTAGTTGATGCTCTCAATATCGATTAGTATATTGTACTGTGTTATAAAGTCTGAAAAATTTCCTCACATATAAGTACGAAAATTCTCCTTGTCCATTCGTTTGTGCCTACCATTGATTATTCTAATGTTAGTTACTCTGACATGAATGTAGACCTTTTAACAACAACTCCATCTGCTTCTGCGTATGTTCAATCAGATCTCTTCCTATCATTCACAGTTTAAATAGCTACCTATCCATTATCGTAAAAATGTACGTATCCTATGTACCCTCTATTCTTTATATATAAATAAATAATATAAACAATGTTTAGATTTTGTAAACTCTGTAAAGATCTATATTTTGTTACAATTTGTTTTTAATTTATTATATTTACATCGCCAACAATTATTTTAGACTATGGTTCACTGGTAGGTAAGTCTGCTAAATATACGATATGATCAATAATAATAATTAGTAAATAAATAAAATTGCTATTTTCATTATATATAATTATGTATAATATAAAATAAGACTAGATATTTTAATTAATAAAATATTGCATTTGCATTTTCTATTTTTCAGCTAAAAGTCCAGTATTCGGAATGATCAATTCCACTCTCTCAGGACTGGTCACTATTAGAAGTTCTAACTCCCAACATCGTCTACAAAAACAATTCGACGATGCACAGGTAAATTATGAACTAAATTGTTTTATATAACACGACCGACGACGACCTCGGTGGTTTATCGGTTTAGCACACCACTTTCCTTCCGATGGTCGCAGGTTTGATACCTCGCACGGTGCAAATATTTGTATTTATAAGTACAAATATTTGGTTTCGGTGTCTTCTATATATAATATGTATATAATTACGAAAAGAAATATGTATGTATTTATCAGTTATCTAGTACCCATAACACAAGCTTCAGGAAGCTTAACTTGGAACTAAATTAATATTATATTATTATATATATATATATATATTAGTAATAGTTAAGTAAATAATTATATTAAAGATTTGAGTGCATTGCTAATTTTACTGAAAACTTTTCTTCCTGGCAAATTTTAATATACCACAAATGTGTTTCAGGATCTTCATTCTAGTGCCTTTTTTACATACATAGGGGGATCTTCAGCTTTTGGCTTATATCTGGATGGTATTTGCTTGGCCTACCTCGGATTGGTTTTGTGCATTTTTATTCTAATTGAGTTTGGTAAGTTTCGTCAAAAACATTTTATTATAATATAATATTTAGCTTACAGGAAGTAAACATAAACATACATTAATTTTTTTCGTATTCAAAAATAAAATACATTAAACATGAATATTCGAAATTCATTCAGTAAGAAATGTATATCTATTACTAATATTTTCTTTATATAATAAGGACAAGCAAGGATAATGTTAATTAAAATTAATTCATTTTATTATTATACATATGTATATAATTTTTTTACGTTACAAATGTAGATAGATAGTAAGTGGCAACAGTCTCATCTATGTATATGAACAGAACCACTGATTTCACAACTTGCTATTCTCATGGTCCCCTGCCCCTTCCTCTACTGGATTTCATTTCATAGGACGAAGATGAGATATAATAATAAATAGGTGGCATAGAGAATGCGGACAACTTTGTCTTATGGATGATAATGGAATGGTGCACCTCTGCGCTAAAGGTTTGCGCTGGCGGGGCACTAGTGGAGGATGATAAGATGAACATGAGGACAGGGTAGTTAGCCTATTATGGTAAATGCACCATGGATTTATAACGATGGTTTCCAGTGGGGACGTGGAGGGCAACCTGACACGGTACATTGCTAGCAATGGGGTTATTAGTCCCACATTAGTAACAATCCTCTTCCCCCCACTTTGTATAGAGTGTATCTCGGCATGTTATATTTAATCATATACAAATTTCTCCCTAGACGAGACCGTCATCCCAGTTGGAAGCGTGGGTTTGGCCGTGACCCAGTCGATGACGTTAACAATGTTGTTACAAATGGCAGCCAGATTCACAGCAGATTTTCTTGGACAGATGACCTCTGTAGAGAGGGTGCTTGAATATACTGAACTGCCTTGCGAACAAAATATGGAAGTAGGACGTGAGTATATATACCTACTCTGTTGTAATGGATATATCCTAAATAAATATAATATTATAAGCATATAAAATAATAGCTTAAAAGCAATTAATATTTTAAAGATAAAAGAAAACATAGACAATAAGTTGTTGCGGCTATATGTACATAAACTTAATTTAATTAGACTGTATTTTCTCGAAAGGTATTGTGAATAATAGAAATTATAGGCCCTATTTCTAACTATGGAAGTACTCTTGTCAATTTAACCCCTGCGCATTATTTACAGCTACTGTCCCACCAAATAATTGGCCTTCAAAAGGAGAAGTGAAATTTGAAAATGTTTTTATGAAATATGGCCCTGAGGATCCTCCAGTATTAAAGGATTTGAATTTCGTCATTAAAGAAGGCTGGAAGGTAAGTTGTTGCATTATTTCGATTAAAAAGGTTATGGGTACGATTGTAGCATTTTATATCAAACTTCCACCTACGTTTAAGTCTGAACTGATATTACAGAGAGAATAGAATCAATTTCAATGGGTAATCTCAAATCATCTGTAAGTGGTTTTAACACTGTCTCCTATGAATGAATGGAAACTCTTTATTGTATCAAAAGATAAAAACTTAAACTGACACGACGCAATCGCTAAATAACTATCTCTTCTAGACAACGTTAATACATAAAGTACACCAAGGACATCACGTTATCATGTGGCGGCCCTAGTACCCCACATTCGTTGTCATTCCTGTAATTCATTACCGTATATCACCTTCTAACCGAAACATAGCTTACGTTGACGACTTTGTACAAAGTCTACCTAGGTTAAATAAGAGCATATTTATTTATTTTTATATTTTTTGTTATACGATATTCAATATATTTGTTCCAGGTGGGAGTAGTAGGAAGAACGGGAGCTGGTAAATCCTCTCTTATATCAGCACTATTCCGTCTTTGCGACATCGACGGCAGTATTAAAATTGATGGAATAGACACACGAGATCTTGCCAAGAAAGTAAGTTCTTTTTTATGTATTCCTTACGTAGTCATCCAAAAATAAGTAATTACTTACTTTTTATATCTTTATCAATAAATCTTCTGTTTAAAAGAATTGCGCTGTGGGTAAAATCTTAGAGAAACTTTACTTAGGTAAATAATAGTGCAATGTGTTGAATTAGACATAGAATTTGAGAAAGATAAATAATCTTATATATAAAATTCTCGTGTCACAGTGTTGGTTACCATGCTCCTTCAAAACATTTTTATGAAATTTTATATGCACATTCAGTAGGTCTGAGAATCGTTTGCTATCTATTTTTCATACCCATAAGTGATAAGGGTTGTCTACCCCTAACATTTTATTTGTATTATCTGGACAAAACTTATATATTTTTTTTTATAATGTGGCCTTAAAAATATATACAACCTTAAATTTTCACCCTTCTACCATCAACCCCTATTTTTTAATAGCGTTTAACAACGTTTGCGTGGTCAGCTAGTAGAATATAAGGTAAACTTAATGTTCATAATTGTCATTTCTATATAGGTATATAAAAATGATAACTATGAACAGTACCATAGGTATGGTACTGTCTTTGTCCGATGGGCAATTTATGCATGTTAATCACCAACAAGCAACAACAAATTACCAACACATTACCAACAAGGTAATTAAATAATAATATGAAAAACGCTGTGTATATTTATATTAATAATGCTCATGTTTTTAGCAATTAAGATCGAAGATATCAATAATACCTCAAGAGCCAGTTTTGTTCTCCGCAACAATGCGGTACAATTTGGACCCGTTCGAAAATTACAGCGACGACGAGATTTGGAAAGCTCTTGAATTGGTGAGTCAGTACACTATATTCCGCATTATTTAGTATAGAGTACTAAGTACATTTCTGGCTTAAATCACATTTATAACTCTTATCGATATCGTCAGAGGTACCCCTCAGTCTCGTCTATTTCAGCAGCCAAGTAGCTTGCTTTGTAAGCTATTCGGATGTAGGGTGCAGATAAAGCAGTGAAATTACCTGTGATGTCATGTTTATTAAACTAGTAATGGCAGCATATGAGTGGTATTACGGTACATCCATATTACTCATGTGTTGGTGATAAGTGGTGTCCTTAGTGCTTTTCAAATACTGCTTACTGCTGGGTCGCCAGTTTTTTTGTCATTTCCCTTACATATAAAACGAAACCTTTTATAATATTCTAAATTATTGGATAATAATCTTTTGGGAACTGTTACATTATTACTTAAAATATATAATACTAGATGTGCCCGCGGTTTCCTCCGCGTTAAATTTCAATATACAACTTTCGATAAAAAAATATAGCCTATGTGTTATTCTGATGTATAAGCTATATTACTGTAAATTTTTATCAAAATCCGTTTAGTAGTTTTTGCGTGAAAGAGTAACAAAATACTTACAAACTTTCGCGATTATGACATTATATTATATTTTTATTCTTAAGAGAACATAACTATTCGAATCTAATATTGTCGTTACATTAGGTGGAACTAAAAGAAGCAGTACAAGCTCTCGACCAAAAAGTGTCTGAGGGTGGGAGCAACTTCTCCATGGGACAACGTCAGCTCATCTGCCTCGCACGTGCTGTTCTGCGCTCTAATAAAGTACTTGTCATGGACGAAGCCACCGCCAACGTAGACCCACAGTAAGTATTTGTCAGCTCCTAAAACAGAGTAAATCAATCGAAGATTTCTAAAAGGTCGATACATACCTTAAGAACATTTTATACTATAATCATAACCGGAACGGGGTTGCGAAATTAACTTTAACATAGATTCTATAAGCTAATAAGACTATAAGCTATTCCTAATTGTTTATCGTGTGACTTACAGCAGTATATAAATATGTTCAATTGCAAAACATCATTTTAGCATAAGGAATACTTTGAAGGAATTTTTAAACATTAGATTCTTTGATTTATGAATGTCATGAGGCTCTATTTACTTATATCAGAGACGTATATTTAGAGAAAAGATCCAAACAAGCCAGTCATTCTAACATACTTCTGATTAAACTAAGGCATCTATCACTAGGCAATCTAAATCAATATAATCATACCTATTATAAATTAAAAATTATTGAGGATTTATATAAAAAAGGAGGTTAGTTACACTTCCTTGCAAAAGGAACAGGAAGGATTCAAATTAAGTTTAGTACGTATTTTATCCTTGAGTGTAGAATATCACAGTAGGATATCGGTCTAGGATCAAGTCTATGCAGCATCTAGTCTAGATCGCGGGACACGACTAAATGAATTGAAATTAATTTTCGCACAATAATAATTTATCTTTTAATAAACAAGTTAATTGTAACCTCATAGCTGATAGCTAAATTATACAAAGTAATCTAATGCAACCACATAGCGATAATAATTACATCGTATAACTAAATAGTCTTATTTATATTTACCTATTTATTTATGCAGGACCGACGCACTGATCCAGAAGACAATTCGTAACGTGTTCACGAGCTGTACTGTGATCACGATCGCCCATCGTCTGAACACGATCATGGACTCGGACCGCGTGCTGGTGATGGACAAAGGTCACGCTGTCGAGTTCGACTATCCTTATATCCTGCTCTCCAACCCCAATAGCACTTTCAATTTAATGGTCAAGGAAACCACAGAAAGCATGAGTAAAGTTCTATATGAAATAGCCAAGATGAAATATGATAGCGACAATCATAAAGAGTAAATTGAATTCCATTTTCGTTTCAAGTATTTGTATATATAATAAATAGTATTATTATTGCAAAAAGATTGTTGGTTGATCAATTTCTCAAAGTATGTAAAATTTTGACCTACGTATTCTTAATTTTGAACGACTTTGGAAATAATAACATAAAATAATATAAAGTAATAAATATATAACACAAATGAATACATTACGCATTACATTAATGTACTAGAATTACTCTATAATAAATTGATGCAAAACGTCCATAAGTTGACTGGTAGAATATGCTGCTTAATGTTAAAACTGTCAAATGTAATTTTTATTTTTCTTACTTTTCGTATTGTGAACTTTAAAGTTATGTAAATAAAAAAATAACTAATATATCTAAGTGTTAAACTCACGAGGTTGTTATTTAATGGCTGTGAATGAATCAGTGTTTATTGCGAACTAAACTAATTATGTACAGTAATCATATTTATTTACATAGAATCCTATAGGAATTCATTACTAACTACTTATCTTTTTTACAATTTATTATTTGTATATCAATGTGCAACTTACAAACCAGAAAAATATGGCATCCATATACCTATACCATACGTTATGTACATATATTGATTTAAATGTATATGTTACACATTTTAATCAATGTATCTTTTACATTTCAAAATCAGTTACGATTTATTTTGAAAAGATATCGTAAGTGAAACGAACTAGTTTTCAATTCACATGCTTGACGAAATTGAAGGAATTTTGATGATTAATTTTGCAACCAAAGGGGTTTACAGGGGTTTAAACATGACTGTATATTTTTACGGTTGCCACACAATAACACAAATACATGGTGTATGTGAAACAAAATGTGCTAGTCTCTCTATTATATTCAGAGCATAAAGTACGCGATATAAGTATATATGTAGGTAGGTATATTACTTACCCATTTTTGTAAAATATTTCTCTACACAATATCGAATGAATTTGTTAAAATCGTAAAGGAATTGAATTGTTCAGTATTTATTTTTGTAATAAAACTTATATGTTTTAATATTAGCAATAAGATTCCCATAGTATTAGAATTAAATAGGATTAGTTAAATACTAGATATGTAAATATTTTTTATTAAGTTACTTAAATAAAACTGTGTGCAATAAAGGAAATATAATTTGCAATGTGCGTCACCAATAAATAATTATTTATTTTATTTGCTTATACTAATAAGAATCCAAATATTCCATATTCTGTAGGAGATTACACCATCAGTCCCACAGTACATAGAGTTCTTATTTTTTTATAAGTCTAATTATTATATAACCTAACAAAATTATCTCAAAAAATACATGGTGTATCCAAATATATAAACTATATAAACAGAATACAGTACCACGTAACTATCCCGTAGTTACACCATTATCGGGATTATAAAATTGATGGGAAGAAAGATATTATGAAATATACCACCTATGTATAAAAATACTAGAATCAAAATCTATACAAAAAATATTCAAAACAAATAATATGTATCCGTGTGAATTTGATTTTGATAATTTAAGATCAGTCGTTCTACCATTCTTTAAATTAGCGAAAATGCTACATTCATACACTGTTTATACGATTCTTGACAGGTGTCTTCTTGATGATTGATGATATTAAAAATATATAAATAAATTTGGAATAATGATTATTTTCCAAGTGACTAATATATAATTATTTAAAAATTGAATATTAGTCACTTAGGTACATAGGTACGTTACTGAAGAAATGACAGTCCTCTTAAATTAGCCAGTTTATAACTATTATTCAACTATTATTCCATATTAGCGTAAGGTTTTTGATATCATTAGGAAAAAAATAGAACTTGGTTGTTAAAAATATAACAAATATATCGAACAATTACTTCTACTGGACTAATATTGAACACACAAAAAATGTCCATCTAAATCAGTTTATGATTAGTAGACGTAGAGACTGAAACAAAACCAATCAAGTTGATTCTTGTTGCTGTTAGTCTAATTGTTATTTACTTTCCAACGGTAATATTTTTTGATGATATATGCTACGTTTTGTTTATTCATATTATCAAACGAAAGCAATACATAACTACACGCACATATGTACGTACTGAAATATACTACAATACTTTGTGTAAATAAATAGGTAAATAATTATTTATGGTTACACCATATAGGGTACTTACCCACATTTGATTACATCAGACACTGGAGGATACAATCGATTATAGATTAAATATAAATCGTCACTGATAATAATGACATCCACAGATAAGTAAAATTTATCATTTCATTAAATTACTATTATTTATCTGCATTTCGTACATAACGCGCGTACTCTGATTATCGCACACGAGTTAAAATGTGCTTTATTTATAAGTAAATATAATAAAGATCTACATCATAAGATCTAATATGGAAAATAATATAAAAAGTAATAGTAAATACAAAACTTATCATGATGGGACGCAGAAAAAACGAAGTAAACCCAATATCTTGTCAAGAATTTTTGTATTGTGGATGTGCCCAGTGTTAATAAAAGGAAACAAAAGGGAAGTTGACGAAAAGGACCTCATAGTTCCCAACAAGCAGTACGACTCCGAAAGACAGGGTGATATACTCGAAAGGTAATTAAATACATGTAGTTTATTCTTATTAATTATATTAGTAGCATAATTAAATATGTTATACAATAAATGAAATAGAAATATTTCCTCCAACTTAATATAAATTTTTAAATAGTCATTAATATTTATTTTTTTATACTACCACTGATGAAGCAACACATACTTAAGATTTTGTGTAAATACAAGCTGCCAAATAGCAACAAAATTAAATAAATACAATACTTTTCTGATTTGATCACACACGATTGACAAGATTATTTGAATTTTCTTTCTACTATAATATTATTATCATATTGACAAACACTATAATAATAAGTTTTAATTAGCGTAATAAGCTTTTTTGCAAAGAATATGTTTTATACATTAACATTTGAATGTTTTTTGCAGATTTAAAACAGACTCAGGCAGTTTGTTGCAAAGCCTTACGCAATAAACTGACCACGGTTACGAGTAAATGGGCAAAGCTATAATAGTTTCTATTTATTGCGTAAACTTTTATTACTATTGCGCTAACTTTTTTGAAACTATCACTATCTTTCCTGGTATACATGATTTTTGTAAAAATATTGGCTATGCAACTATGAGCTCGCGAATACTCTCTAGCACCCATACCATAAATGAAGCGATAAAAATATAAGGACATAACTGTATACTTATGTATATATAATAATTTCATTATCTATTCGTAGTGCCATTGCTTTTTTTAATTAATAACTTTATTTTCAGACATTGGTTAGAAGAATTGAAAAGATCTGAAAAAGAAAAGAGAGATCCTTCATTATGGAAGGCTTTGAAAAAAGCTTACTGGCTGTCATACATGCCAGGAGCATTTTATGTGGGTCTATTAGGTATTACAAGGTAACTATGTTATTTATAATAATAATGCCTACCTACATTCGTTTGTTAATTACCGATAATTAGGACTTAATGGTAAAAATCATTATCAGGTCATAGTTTATTATCAATTTTTTTAGCATGTTAACATTATTTTCTATATGTACCTATTTATCCAGGACCGTTCAGCCATTATTATTCGCCCGGCTGTTGTCATACTGGACTGACCCGGTCATGTCGCGGCAGGAGGCTGGCTTTTACGCGTTGGGCATGCTCGGGATCAACTTTGTATCGATGATGTGCCAACACCACAATAGTTTGTTTGTTATGCGATTCAGTTTAAAAGTAAAAATAGCATGCTCAGCACTCCTTTATAGGAAGGTGAGATATATTTAATATATAAAATAAACTCATTGTGCTATTTTGTTGAGTTCTAAATTCAACTAAGTGTAGGTAGTGATTTTGCATTGTCAAAGTAAAAAATAATATCAGTTTATCAGAGAACTAACTAATTTATTAATGTCTACGATGCAATTTACTAATATATGATGTGTCTAATGCAAACCCAATTGCTGGTGTCTAGTGTATACTTGTATAGTTTTAAATTATAGGTACTACGTATGAGTCAAATAGCACTGGGTGAGGTGGCTGGTGGCAAATTGGTCAATTTGTTGTCCAACGACTTAGCCAGATTAGACTACGCTTTGATGTTCCTCCACTACTTATGGTTAATACCGATACAGACTTCTGTTGTTTTGTACCTGTTGTACAACGCAGCAGGATACGCGCCCTATGTTGGCTTATTCTCAGTAATCATTGTGATTTTTCCCATACAAGGTAATTGCTGTTCATTTATTGTATTTTTTTTATCATAGTCATCATTTTTTTTTCAAATCTACGTAAAGTTTGTGTGAGTGGAGCTCACACAAACTTTACGTAGATTTATAATATTCTTCAATATATAGGTACAATATTATTTTTCAATATATGGTTTAGATACATATAATTATGCATCTTTCAGCTTTCCTTACTAAATTAACCGCCGTAATAAGACGACAAACTGCTCAGAAAACTGATATAAGAATAAAACTCATGAATGAAATTATTAACGGGATTCAGGTAAAACGCAAATATTAATTTTATATTCATTGAAAGCAAACAAGTCTGTGCATGTGTACTTATTTCTATGATCAATTTTATTTTTTTGTTCCGACATTTGTGAACAGAATAATAGTGAAATCATTATATACAAAATAATTTCAAATTATTTCACTGCCTTAAATAGAAGAATTATTATTTGAAGTTTGAACGACTTTTTTATATTTATGAAAGAATCCTCCTATTCGAATTTTAACTATTGTTCTTTATTTTTATGACTACAGGTAATTAAAATGTACGCATGGGAAATACCTTTTCAAAAAGCGGTAAAAATAGCGCGATCTCACGAAACAAGCGCAATCAAGAAGTCAATTTTCGTCAGGAGCGTATTCATTGGTTTTATGATATATACTGAAAGAACAATCATGTTTCTTACTATTCTTACAATTATTCTTGGTGGCGATATGATTTCTGCATCTACGGTAACTTTTTACTCTTTAAATTTTTGTTAAACTAGCACATATGCACAGTTTGTTCTTAATAGCGAAGGCCTGGGTTTTCGCTATTAAGAACAAACTGTGTGTAATTATATATATTGACGATGTAATAGCAGTAAGTTGCAGCAGGTCAAAAAAAAAAGACAAATTGTGAATAATATTTGTTGAACCATAAACTGTAAAACGGGTTACAGAATATGTAATAGAAATGATTTGTTTTAGATTTATCCAATTAAACAATATTTCTCCATTATTCAATTTAACATAACCATGATACTGCCGCAGCTGATAGCCTCGTTGTCTGAAGTGAAAATTTCAATAGAACGTATACAAGGATTCATGACAATGGGTAAGTTTTATATAATGTTATATATTTTTTTTTATTAAAATATACAATCATAGTTACAATAATTAATTATGATGTTCTTAATTTCCTTTTCTTAATAATATTGGGCATAAAGATAAAGCATATTAAGAGGATTTATAAAAAGCAGATGATTTTGCTGAAAACAGCTAGTAGGTAACTGAATAGTTATCACATTTTTATAAAACAAATAAGTAGCCAAACAATTTTTTAATAATTTTAATTACTTTAGAGGAAAGGGGTGACGTCTCAACTGCAAACGACAAATTACCCAAGGTTAATACAACTGAAATGTACAATAGAAACATAAAATTACAACACAATGCAAAAACGGTAGTTGAGACAAATAACATTGCTGCGAGTAAGTATTCCTTGATAAATACGACTAGTGTTTACCAAGTATAATCTACATTTTATACCACTCAACAGTGCAATGAAACGATATGAATATTGCTCTAAATTTACTAGAAAATTTGATCATTTATAAACTACATTTCCAGATCCATATCAACTGCACTGCACTTAACATATTTTAATAAGAAAAATGCTGACCTGCATAAATTTATATTTTTAAATGTGTATGTTTTTGTATATATAATTGCTTAGTTTTTTAATGAATTTTATATGTTATAATAAAACTTTTTGATGTCAATGTATTCAAGGATATAAATTGTATTATATAATATTAATTTATGGTGTAAATATAACTTTTCTATATGTTAACTTTAAAAAGATGGACGTTCTTAAATAATAATTATAATATTTCACACAAATCTTAGATTTCACATTTGTATATTACAGAGCCATCAAATATAAAGCCATTGACATTTTGAACTTTATGAACATTTTAAAATTAATTAAGACTACAAATATATCTTAATTAATTAAAACAAATATATACTATGTTTAACCTAAGATATTATTTATCTGCGGTAAAAGCCTACATTAAAATATCTACCTTTATTGGGTAAGAGATATTCAAACATCTATACAAAATTAATGTTTATATTAGAATTGCCAAACTGCAACGACTACGACAATCATAAGTTAGAAGGCACCAATATCGTCGTGGAGATATCAGAAGCCACTGCATCCTGGATACATGGCATCCCTGACACAGAATGTAGTCTTAAAAATATATCAATGTGTGTACGAAAGGGTCAACTTTGTGCTATAATTGGACCTGTTGGTGCCGGAAAGGTAAATAACTACGAAAACATGTAAAGATAAATATACGGATTATAACGATTATATTATACATTAACATTAATTTCACATTCATTCGTTTCGTAATCATGCTTGAATAATGCCGTAGACTATCATCGAGTACTTACACATCATGATACAATCATACCTATAATCAGGGTTCTAACAATCACGATATTAAAATATTTTATGACACATGCTCTTGAAATGAAGTTGCAACAAAATAGAATATATAGATTGGAATATTTTTTTATAACTTAGCTAATAACATGAAAATTCCATAAATTGACATATATAGACCGTCCCTTCAAATTGAAATAGAAGTTATGTAAACATCTGATATTCTCTTATACTTCGTAGTATATAATATATACATAGGTAAAACATAATATACAAAGAAAAACAGATATTTCAGACAGGAGCAGGATCTCATCTCATAAAGTATATTCGAAGGTACTACTGAAGACCTGACGTTTTCATTTCATTCTTCTAAATCTCTTTGGAAGTTTCAAGTAGTTTCGCCCTAAATTATAATAATTTTCATTGTATTTTATTATCAAAACTTTAATTTCAGACTTCGCTTCTTCAACTTTTGTTAAAAGAAATGCCTCTGCGATCGGGCACTGTTAGTATCCAAGGCACAGTATCCTATTCATGTCAAGAGTCATGGATATTTGCAAGCACTGTTCGACAAAATATTATTTTTGGATTACCTTATGATCCTGAGAAATATAAAGAGGTACCTATGTTTTTATACAGCAGTTAGTTGTTTCATGCTATACTATACTATTTTAGGGAAATACCGAAATAGATAAACTTCTAAATGCAAAACTACAAAAAAATGTACTTTACAGAACAACTTATTCAATCTAGATCAAAAATTGTTAAAGACTGTTGTTTAGTGTATTTATAATTTCTATAAATACTTACTATATAAGGATTACTAAATGTTATAAAATTGTTTGTAATATATTAACTTGAATCTCTCGAAGTTTGCTAAGATAATTCAAAATAAAAAAGTATATTTACAAAAAAGGTGTAGCTTTAGTTTATACCGAAACAGAGCGCCTTTAAATTAAATTAAGAGAATATTTAGTTACATATGTTTATCTATCTACAATACAGTAGACATATTCTGACTTAAACAAAGTGGCCGGCAAAAATTGGCAGCAAGTCAACTAACTCCGTATATAGTACTGAAATTCTTATTGAAGTTTATTCAGTTCTATAGTATATCCTACCACTGATGCACTAAAAATGTCCAAGGGATTTATTTAACCATAATCATTCTCATTATTATTATGACATAGACATAGTCCGCCCCTATGTATGCTTAAATATTTAAAACTACGCAACGGATTTTGAAGCGGTTTTTTAATAGTGATTCAAGAGTAAGGTTTATATGTATAATACATGTACACCCGAGCGAAACCGGGGCGAGTAGCTAGTATTTTATAAATGGGTAGGCAGTGCCACTAGTTAAATGCAATGTGAGACAATTAGAAATGTTTCTAATTAATCGAATCTATAAACGACGGACTTACAAATATATTTTTTTTTGTAATCAAAAATAACCTATCTAATAATCTATCTATCTATAAGACTTCATACAGTTCTAACATACGGCAAAAGAATAGTAATAATTTGTCGAACAATAATTACTTGGTATTTATACTAACATTTTTATATGTTTCAGGTATGCCGAGTTTGTTCATTGTTGCCAGATTTCAAGCAGTTTCCATACGGCGATTTATCTTTAGTTGGTGATCGTGGTATTTCCCTTTCAGGAGGCCAGAAAGCCAGAATAAACTTGGCCAGAACTGTGTATAGAGAGGTAAGTCGCAGTTTAGTAATATCACAGATAAGATAATATTACATAGATGCTTTATTAATTTATCTAATATTTATACATAATAATAATTGTATATACTAGAGAACTGAACCAAATTTAAAAAATAACATCTTTTTCATTTATAATTTGTTTCAGGCTGATATTTACCTGCTAGACGACCCACTGTCAGCGGTGGATGCAAATGTAGGCCGGCAATTGTTCGAGGGATGTATTAAGGGTTATTTGAGAGGAAAGACAGTCATACTTGTCACTCACCAGTTACATTACCTCAAAGCAGCCGACTACTTAGTCGTCCTGAACAATGTTAGTTTTTTTTTTATGCAAATCATAATTTATTATATATACTAATACGTTTGTCTAGAAATAATGTTAATAATATGTAATATACCTACATATTATTAAAAATATTTGATTTTAGGGAATGATCGAAAATATGGGTTCTTATAATGAACTCATAAAGTCTGAAGAAAAAAATTCTTTCATATTGACCAATCTTCAGGAAGATGATAGCGAAGAAAAAGAGAATATATCTGATGACAAGGTTCGTACCACGTCTTTTATCTAAGTATTTATTTTTTTATAACAACTTTAAATTTCATATATAATTAAAATTGCAACTGAATACATTGTAATTCAGTAACGATTGCTGTAAAACTATGGCATCAACAGGCTACGAACCGTTCAAATAGACATATGCCAACTGGTGGGCTACACTATAACTCATATACCGAATGGTGATCTACATCATGTTGAAGAAGAAGAACTGTCATAAATTTGTAAAATAAAACAATAGCGCACCGTCAATGTAGATATAGAAAATATTACTAAATTCTTTTCAATTACTATATTTACTTGTAGCTTGAAAATTGACTAAAGATCTCAAAACACATTGAAACATAAAACTTTAGGCAGATCATGTAACTGACTAAACTAAATTAATAATTAATACTAATTTAAATAATATACTTTTAGAGTGGTAAACCAAATTCTATAAAAAGAAGTATGTCTGTTAAAACTGAAAATGAAAACACAAATGCCGAGAAGGAACAAATTCTGGCTACAGAAGAAAGGGCCACGGGTAACTTGAAGTGGGAAGTAGTGAGCAGTTATTTGAAGTCCGTCAATTCTTGGTTTTTGGTGTTTCTGGCTATTACTGCTATGTTGATAACCCAAGGCACCGCCACCACTTTAGACTACTGGATTAGTTTCTGGTACTTGTTTATTTTACTTTAAATTGTAATAATTTTATTTGCTTTATTAATTCAAATATTCGATGGCTTATTACTTTCTTGTTATAGGACAAATAATGTGGACAAATATATTCAAAATTTACCTGATGGCGTAGTTCCTGGTAAGTTATATTTCACACTGTTTATTTTCAAATAATCCATTTCAAACAATTTCACTCGCTTACTGTAATTTATAGATTTCAATTGTTTATATAATCAAGTTGAACCTCGACTAAAAAAGGAAAACTAGCCTATTTGTCGTTAGTTATTGCGTCTGTTCATTCTCTATATTTTTAATGTTTTCATGTTCTTTTTTATTTTTAGATCCTAGCTTGGATACTAAAATAGGGCCATTATTGACTTCACAATATATCTTAATCCATGGTTGTGTACTATTAACATTAATAGTATTTGTACACTTAAGAATCTTAGCGTTCGTGTCTGTTGCTACACGAGCTTCGCGGAATCTCCATAATATGGTATTCAACAAATTAATTGTCACTGTCAGGAGATTTTTCGACACCAATCCAACCGGTGAGTTGCATAATTAGAGACTACTTAGTCCATAATTAACATATATGAAATGGAATTTTAATTTCACACCATATCCATATATTATATACTAGCTGTTCCCGCGACTATGTCTGCGTGGAATTTAACTTTATTTTTCTAAAATAAAAGTAGCCTAAGTTACTCCTTATTACATCAGCTATCTTCCAAAAAAAGTCCCGTCAAAATCGGCCTAGCCATTTCAGAGATTCGCCGGAACAAACAGACAGACATACAGACAAAAATTGTAAAAATGTTATTTTGGTGTATGTACCATATATATATTCATATACATGTAGTAGAAAATCTTTGAAATACTTTGAATTAATAAATGTTACTGTGAGCCGTGACGTTTAAATGCATGCATACACATAGTATTATAAAATAATGCAATTTACTTTTCTAATTTAATTATATTTATTATCGGTGGTATTTCTTTGGGGGTGGGTGGGTATGGTTTTTCTTTTTGTCAATTACATTTTCCTTAACGATAAAAATATTCTAAAATATAAAATTGAAATAAACCCGTGGAATTATATTGAGTTTTAACTTTCAGGTCGTATTCTTAATAGGTTCTCAAAAGACATAGGCGCAATCGATGAACTGTTACCTCGTACTATATTGATAACATTGCAAATGTATTTCTCCATGACCAGCGTGCTCATTCTGAATGCAGTAGCCCTCCCCTGGACCTTAATACCCACCGTCATACTAGTTATTGTCTTCATATTCTTACTGAGGTGGTACCTCAAAGCTGCTCAGGCAGTGAAGCGGTTAGAAGGCACCAGTAAGTGTGTATTAAATTAAAAAATGCGATTCATGGAATTCGTGAATGGAAGAATGTGAATGAATATATTGTATTATTGATTATTCTACAGCTAAAAGTCCAGTATTTGGAATGATCAATTCTACTCTCACGGGATTGGTAACCATTAGGAGTTCCAACTCTCAATATCGACTTCAGCGACAGTTTGACGACGCACAGGTGACAACTTTTTAAACTATTTTATATAAATAGAAAAAGATATACACCGTTAATGTAAAATATATACTATTTTATACCATTTATTCTAAATGCAGTCCTAGACTAAGAAGACATGCATTTTGCTTTTCATTATGAATATTGACATTATGATCAAACGTTAAATGTAAGTGAAAAAACCATAATTACCGTCCTCTTTAAACACAAATGGAATGACATTTTTCATGTTCAGTAAATAAGATTTCCCACTATTTCGCAGGTATATCAAGGTTATTTTTATATAATTTTATTCGATATACATGTGTATTTTGTTATGTATTTATTAATAGAACAAATATTTTAGGACCTTCATTCGAGTGCCTTTTACACACATTTAGGAGGATCTGCTGCATTTGGTTTATACTTGGATAGCATATGCTTAGTGTACCTAGGCATTATTTTGTGCATTTTCCTTCTATTTGAATTCGGTAAGTTTAACAGAAATAAAAATATCCAAATATGAATCTTATTATTAACACCTTTTTCCATATTGTACGATTATCTAAACGTGTTTTATGTGTAATGTTAAAGTTAAAAAATAATTACATTTCTAATTATCTATTAAAAATCAACTGTACTTAAAAAAGTCCCCAACTTAACCCAAAACTAAATCCAACCAACAACCGTATTCTTCTTAGCTTCTTAGCGAAAGCACTTCGAACTGATGGTAAATTTGACATATAAGAATCTGTAATAGCCCTACATAAATAAAGTTATACTGATTTGATGACGTAAGATTTTTTAAATTATATACTTGGTTTGATGGTATAAAAATATTTTTAAATATCATTGTAGTAAAATACTCACGTCATTGAAAGCATAGCCTTGTTATAAATCTCGCATACATTGCACGATACTAGTTTAATATTATATGTACATGATAAAACATAATATGCATAATAACACTTTTTTTAAAACGTGGCGTAGAAGTGAAGTCTATTTGATTTCTTGTAAAGTATATGTGCGTTACGAAATTAGAGATTATACTATAGATGAAACTAATATTTTACATCGTGATTTATGATCGCTAGTTTCATTCTGCATGTTGGACATAGCTCTATCTGAACTTCTATATCTCCTCTCATCCTTAGATGACGATGTAATACCAGTTGGAAGTGTGGGTATGGCGGTGACCCAGTCGATGGCACTGACAATGTTGTTGCAAATGACAGCGAGGGTCACAGCTGAAATTCTCGGGCAGATGACTTCGGTAGAGAGGGTGCTAGAATATACCAAGCTACCCTCCGAAAAATATATGGAAAATGGAAGTGAGCAAATATTTTGAAAACAATTTAGTCAATCCATAATTGTAAATGTCTGATGTTTACCTTAATATTTATTATTCTGAATGACAACATTTTCTATTTCCTATTCCGACCGTTATATCGAATATGCTAAGTGAAAAAGTATCTATAAATACATTATCATGTATCCATTTTTATTCAAAACTGATAAATACTCTAGTATAATTGCCGAGTAGATAGATAGGAAAAGTAAACAAGTATAACTTTACTAACACAAACAGTATTTTATAATATTGTTTGTTAGAAGTATATGTCATGTCACAGCCTATTATTTTGGAATTGAATATGGAAGTAAAATGTTCTAAGTTAACTATTTGACTATTAAAATAGATTATGCTAGTGCAATAAGATGTAAATTTGTCACCAGTCCAACTTTTCCATATGTAAACTCATTACCGGTGAACAAAGTGAAAATAAACAAATAGACATTAATCATGCTTTTTTTTATGTAATTGTAATGGCAAACAAACTGACAGCCCACGTGTTAATAAATGGTAACCATCGCCTATATATTAACGGACTCTTGGTACTCCTTATGCGTTGCCATTCGGTAAAACTACAATGTCAGGCGTCCGTACTCTTTAATTTCACTGCTTATCACTTCTTGCATTTCTTTAATTGAAACACATTATAAAAAGTAATTATATCCCAAGACGACTTTGTACCTCAGTATAATAAAAAATATATGTCTATAATTGATCCGTAAGGTACAAATAACATAGGTTAATCAAACTTACAGCCACTATACCACCGAATGATTGGCCTTTGAGAGGAGAAGTGAAATTTGAAAATGTCTTTATGAAATACGGCCTTGACGATCCTTCAGTTTTGAAGAATTTAAATTTTGTCATCCGTGAGGGCTGGAAGGTAAGTACGTACCGTTATAATAATAATTATAACGGTACGTGAAACTAAAATTGTATTATACGTAGGATTATCCTTATAGCTGGACTTTGAATACTTATAAAATACAGTAGTGTTTTTCGCATAATATAAAATCTTAATAATAACAATATCAATAAATTTACTTACCTAATAATACAGAATGTACAATTTTCTTATATAATAATATGTATAGGACTTGTACACTTGTATATGTATTGTAAAAAATAAATGCCTTTCTTACTTTTATGTCTATATGTATATTCAGGTCGGCGTAGTAGGTCGAACGGGAGCCGGTAAATCCTCACTCATATCAGCAATCTTTCGTCTTTGCGACATCGAAGGTAGCATCAAAATTGATGGAATAGATACACTAGGAATCTCTAAAAAGGTAACTATCATGAAACGTTATTTATACCTATGTATATATATACCATACTATAAAGACGACATTATCGTATTTACTTTATGGTTGTTTTTTTCCAGGATTTAAGATCGAAGATATCCATTATACCTCAGGAACCAATTTTATTTTCCGCAACGATACGATACAATTTAGACCCGTTTGAAAATTACAACGACGTTGAGATTTGGAGAGCTCTAGAGCTGGTACGTTAATATGCTAAGTTCTGGATTGATGATTTGCGCCAAGTCTCAATATCTTTGACGAATAAATTTAATGTATGCAATATTTTACATACCTTCATGTCCCGAGCAAACCAACTTTTATCCGTTATGATGATCATTCACATTTCATAAAAATTAATTATATAACTATTGTATCTTATATTAGGTGGAACTAAAGGAAGCAGTGCCAGCTCTTGATTATAAAGTGTCTGAGGGTGGGAGCAACTTCTCCATGGGACAACGTCAGCTCATCTGTCTCGCTCGTGCTATTCTGCGCTCCAATAAAGTACTCATCATGGATGAAGCTACCGCCAACGTCGACCCACAGTTCGTATATATTATTTCTTTCGTTACATCCAACTGCAACATTGCTAACTATGTCTGAAATATTTTTTCTTTAATATAATATAATGATATCTTTCAATAATAAAATTTATACGGCGCCATCGAGTCCCGAACTAAGCAGAGCTTGTATTATGGTCATTAGACAAGTGATACAAATACGGATTTTTTTTGTTAATACATACGTAATATATATAGATAATTTTCAAATAAAACAAACAATTATACTCACGAATACATAATACATGTCTGTACCGTGCAATCGAATCCACTATTATGGGAGTTAAGGCGGTATGCTAAACCGCTAGACCACCGAGGCCGTCACTCCTTTCTTTCTCCGTACTCCTTACCTATTCCTTATATCCATGGAGACTAAGTTTTAATGACGATTAGTTCGTACCAGAGAAGTTATAGTCGTGATGATATTTAATTATGTTTACCTATTTTCATTTACAGGACTGACACATTGATCCAGAAGACAATACGTAACGTGTTCACGAGCTGTACTGTGATCACGATCGCCCATCGTCTGAACACGATCATGGACTCGGACCGCGTGCTGGTGATGGACAAAGGTCACGCTATCGAGTTCGACTACCCTTATATTCTGCTCTCCAACCCAGATAGTACTCTTAATTTAATGGTCAAGGAGACCACAGACAGTATGAGTAAAGCATTATATGAAATAGCTAAGATGAAATATGACAGCGATAATCTTAACCAATAGACTTAGTTTTAATATTTTTTTGTAAATATTGTAGTATTGTTTAGTGTTTAAGAATATAATTATACGTAATAAATCTCATAGAAAGAAATTTGTTTTTATATTGTACGGTACCCTGGTAGGTCTTTGTTTATCGGATAAATATGAACATAGTAAAAATTTGATAATCTAATATGAAATATTAGATTATCAAATTAATAGTATATAAGATAATTAATATATATATAGGTATGTCTGAAAAAAGCTTTTTTCTTTATTTTTAACTGCAATGGCAAATAAGCTGGTGGCCACCTGGTGGTAAATGTAGTGTAGTGTAATATCATCACCTGTATACATAAACACTACTGTAGCCATCACGTTATTCTCGTTACGTCTATGATTATACATTGGCATTCCGTACAGCGAGAGCTAGAGAAGCCTCCATATACTGCAATTTTATTGTTTTATCTGACTCTTCATTCTTCTAAACAATACAAAGCAAGTCCGTTTGGAGGCAGATTAAGTGAGACAGTGAGGTACTCAAGAAAACGACTTTTTATGAAGTGTACCCTAGCCTCATCTTACACATTATCGATCATAGATTTCGGATAAGATTTATGGTCTCTCATTCTATATGTCCACTTTTTGTCTTTTTTTATTAGTATACTTTTCTATTAATTTGTTCTTAGTGTACGTTTCTGTAAACACTCTATAAGCATTCTTTATCTATGGTTGTGATATGATTTTTACTTAGGAGTTTTATGCTTATTTGGACAACAATTGACATTTAAACATGTATGTACTGTAACCATTCTTTCGTTAAGGTTAATTCCGAAACAACGCTGAACAATGTTTGTTACGAAAACTCAAAACAAATTAATATGATTCGCACGTATTTAAAATTATGTAAATATGCTATTTATATTACGTTGTCTTAAATTACAATTGTGAGCTTTCAACATGAGTTGTTGCGACGGCCAGTCACCCTGCAACACTTCAATTTTTAGCAAACCTCACCTATTGCTTTTCGCTGCTGCATTGATCATGATCATCATTTACCTTGCTTGGAGTCTATACAAATGCAAGATTTGCCGTTAAATATCAACAGAAGAAACTTAAATTTGTCACACAAGTAAGTCTGCTGATTTCTATAACTCTTAAGGTAATAGATATATAATATAAATAACTTACTTTACTATCCTGTCTATAACATAATTTGTATATACAAAATGTTATATTTACTTTAAATGGTGTATAATAATACTTACAAACTCACTGATGTTAAATAAATTTAATCGATTACATTGGTAATTACTCTTGAACACATTAACAATAAACAAGATTATAACTGATTGATTAATCTGCCAAATTTTACTTATATTGTTGTATTATTGTAGTTTTGTATTCTGTGTAGATAAATTATATCTGAAATCAATTAATAGCACTATATGCCTATGACGATTTCAATAACGATAAAGCTACCTAGTATCCCGTTATACTTTCCTGATAATATTCCTGGTGATATAAAACCTAAGTTACATGCGAATAATATATGTGAAAGAATTTAGAAAGTCTGTTAGTTGTTTTGAAATTTATTCATTGCAAAGAGACGAGCAAGCAAGATATTCAACACCTAAAAATTAACAGAATCAAAAGTATCAGATATATATGATATATAAACCGCTGTAGACTACATAATGCCACTTTTGAACTTTATACTACTTAATAATCAGTAATTATAACGCTGTGGATATAGCATGACCTTTTCAGACTTTGTTTATTATATAGAGTCCCATAGAGTCTCATTGTCAACATCACGACCTGTCAATACACTTTGTCATATTGTTTAGTATATTTTTGTAATATTTATAAATAGCTAAAATGGAAACAATATTTAAAAAATATGACATATTTTAGAAACATTACGATAAATTAGCATGACTAAAATTGATTATGGGATAATTCAGAATGAGGGTCACATTGAATGATGGGTTGTTGTGAAGATTGTACTGATGAAAAATGGGGAGTATTGTTTAATGATCACCTAGTACACGGAGTCTTTCTAGTACTCGTTTTGATCATTTTAGTTCTAGCCTATAAATTGTACAGATGCCATCATCCGAGGAGGAGCCTTCTATGTTAGTGAAACGCAATGCATTGACAACTGATTTTTTTATTTTAATATTATTTTCGAATCAAAAACATTTATTAATATATATTTACACCCTAAAGTTTGAATCTAAATATATGTACAGTTTTTATTCAACATGAATAATACTGAATTTTCTTAATTTAAAGTAATTTTAGCATATGGTATTACAGTAAGTTACAACTAAGTTTTCAATTGCAAACAATGTTGTAAAGGAACAAGTACCATTAAGCATCTATTTAAACTCAAATAACAATAATTTAAAGGATTCAAACATGAGTAACTACATAAGATTTAGCAATGTATCACATGTCCTATCTGGCATTTTCTTTTAGATTACTTTGAAAATACGAGTCTTTCGCCACTTGGAAGAGCTGAGCGCTGGTCTTCTCGCCGGTCTCTCGGACCATCGATGAGAATGAGCTGTTGGAATCAGACAGTAGTATGTACGGATGATCGAACTCAGCTACCTGGCCTGAACTCATCACCAGTACCCGGTCCGAGTCCATAATCGTGTTCAAACGATGAGCTATCGTTAAAACTGTACACGACGAAAACTGCCGCCTGATAGTCTGTTGAATGAAGTTATCCGTCCTGCAAAAAGAAAACTTGTATACAGAAATCTATATAAAGAAGAAGATATTTTCTATCATGTTCATTAAAAAATATATTACAAAAATGTTTTAATCCAGACATACCGAATTGTTATTATTACCTATCTGTTCATAAAAAAATTGCGAGATACTGTTTGTACCAAAACAACAAATAATGAATGGCTTCCTCGTAAACATATTGGTGAACAACTATTTTTATCATTCGTATATAGTGACGGAATATAAATTGATAGATTTATGCGTTTGAAAGTCAAACTAGTGAAATGTATCAGCACGCTTCTATCTCCAGAACGTTTTTAAAATATGATTTTGTGAATACAACAGAATCCATATTCTACGGCAAGAGGTGTAAATCCGGATATCATACAAAATTTTGCGCCTGGCTTCGACAATAGAGAAATATATACACCGTTTTTGAACTGTTTTAATATTTCATAATGATACAGATACTCACTGAGGATCGACATTAGCGGTGGCTTCGTCCATGATGAGTATTTTATTAGACCTGAGCACGGCGCGCGCTAAACACATCAGTTGCCTTTGTCCTACTGAGAAATTTGAACCGCCCTCAGTCACTTTAAAATCTAGTGATGGAATTGCCAATTTCATATCCACCTAAAATTGTATATTAAAATAAAAAATATTAGATAGTAACAAAAGACAACAAGAATACAGTTATATTACTAATTTCATAACGGACCTGTTCCAATGCTCGCCAAAGGTCATTGTCACTATAAATATTGAATGGATCTAAATTGTACCGAATAGTCGCAGAGAATAGTACAGGCTCTTGTGGTATAATTGAAATTTTCGATCGGAGCTCCTGCAAATAAAGACAAAATTTCGATTGTACTTAATGAATATTAGTAAGCACTACTATTATATAACATACCCGAAACTTCTCGAACCAAAATGAGATGGAACAAATTAATATTGCACTTTTAAATTGAATATGTAAATGTAACTCTTACATTGTTATTTCAATTTTACAAAACCGTTCTCCTTATCACCAAAGGTATAGTAAGGTAATAAGCAAGGTATATATAGTACATATAGTATATTGCTTTGTTATCCAAACTGTAACTAACCTGTCTTCCAATTAGAGACGTATCGACTCCATCTATAGATATTAATCCGTCAATGTAGGCGAATCTGAATAACGCCGATATTAATGAAGATTTTCCTGCGCCTGTTCTACCGACGATACCCACCTAAAATAATTCAACATATTTAGCTTATTAATAATAACCCAGGACAATTCACAAAATACAATTTACAATTTACATAAGTATTTACCTTCCATCCACTTTCAACGATAATGTTCATGTCTTTGAGTACAGGCGATTCATCAAGAGCATATCTCATGTACACTCGTTGGAACTCGACCTTACCCTGCGACGGCCATTGGGGAGGCACTTCCATTTCTACAACAATAATAATATAACAAAATTAATAATAAACGACTATTGCTGGTGGTTTATAAAACTATATACAACAGCAGTTAATTTGAAGTAAATATATAAATCTTGTATTCAGTATCCTTGAGAATATATAATATAATGGTAATATAATGAATTGTAAACTACGATATATAAACTATTAGTGACTTAACGAATTAGGGATAAATACAAATTAGATTGCATGATTGTTTTTAATTCGAACACAAACTGGTAAGAAGAGCAACATACTAACATGTTCTCAGAGTATATAAACTCGAATTTGATGATATTTTTATCTTGATAAATACAGTCCATCTTATATTACCTAGATAGACGAGGTAAAATCGTCTGCGTGGATATCCGTCTCATAAATTTCTACTGCCAAGTACTCATAACTAGTTATGTAAGCTGTATTTTGGTACGAAGAAATGGTTACTAAAGTGTGATCTCTTAGTTGACAAGCAATGCGAGGGTATCACGAGCATCACAGATATCCGTTGTACTGTTCATATATCATATAAGGCGAAAGTCCGTCAGCTTATTGTTGCAGATACATAACAAATGTCTCCACTTCAGTAGATAGTGCAAAAAAACGCAAACCACTCTAGATATAAAAAAAATAACAGTGAGAAATAGCACTAACGTCCTTTAAATAGGTTTGGCTCGGTTTCGATATGTGTGTACTCAAGCACACGCTCGACGCTGGTCAATTGTGCTATGAATTCGACAAGCATTCTCGCGCCGTGCTGCAACATCATGGTCAGTGTATTACTCTGCGTCACCGCCAACCCCACGCTGCCTACTGGAATCGCGTCTCCTGTAGACGTTACGGGTTTAATTTGAAAAAGCTTCCGGTATATATCATACCTACCCATCGTTTTCACTAACCAATCAATGAGCTAATGCAAACAAATAAAATAATCAACTATATAATTTAATTGTGATAAAAATTTACTCTGATATCGAGTTCTTTTTTGTATATACTGAATTCTTATCATTCTATTATTAAGTCAAAATTGTCAACTAGTAAATGTGCACTATGGTCGGTAACTTAATTAGCTACAAGACGTTTAAAAATTGGTATAAACAGAAGATTCTTACCAACTAATTGCTATCTAGCAATAGATAGGTAATAGACAGGTTAAGAATATTCCATAAAATAAACAATATTTGTATTTTATAGAATATCATTACTAATTCTGCTTCATTTCTTCAAAATTCGTGATACTAGAAAAGTTTTTAAATACTGTTTTTAAGTAACAACATATTATTATCTTTAGGTATTGTATGTGTGGCGATTTACGGATAGTGCGCGGCAACACGGTTGCCTAGCGACGTTGTAGAGAAGGATATAACAAGCTTGTCAGATTGGGACACAATCGCTTCTTTTCAGATACGTTAATTATACGTTTTTATATATATAATAAAACCATACAACTATTGTAAATACCACAAGAATATTACATTTATACATAGCCACCACTGGACTCGTTATTTAATCTTCCTCCTCCTGTCGCTGCCAGTACCAGCTGAACATAACATAAATAATAGCGGTAACAATATAGACGCTAAATTGGTGACCCACGACGTTCCACGACATCACAACAGACACGGTGAAGCGTGAACCTACTCCAGTCCAGGTGCCATCTTTCCTACATTCCTTCTTCTTACCGGCATTCTTACCATACAAGATCTTATCACCATCGACCGTAAACACTATCGTCCATCACACAAGTACTCGCCGTCGTTGTGCCGCCCGCGCCGCCCGCCGCCCGCCGCCCGCCGCCAGCCGCCCGCCGCCCGCCGCCTATAAAGAAACCACGCGACACGGCCCAGTACTACGTAGTCAGGATACTACGGACTTCGATATTAAGATTTTATTTTACTTTTCTCATTTTCTATTGCCGTCAATTTATTTTACGTGTATTTTTTTTTGTTATAATTTTATGTTGAAATTTATTTTTATTGCATGTGTATATTTTTTATTTTCTTATTGTAAATATTAATTTCTTTATATTCGGCATCGCATTGGTCATATATATATAAAATGGCACAATCCGGCACACAAAATTCGTCCCCACCATCTGCCTCGGAAGTGCATAGGGTTTCCGTAAAATTACCTCCTTTCTGGCCTGACCGTCCGGCATTGTGGTTCGCGCAGGTTGAAGCAAATTTTGAACTATCTGGCATCACCGCTGATTCCACTAAATTTAATTATATTATCAGTCATTTGTCACAAAGCCAGGCTGCTGAGGTGGAAGATATAATCATCAAACCACCCGCGGAAGACAAATACATATTTTTAAAAGCTGAATTAATCCGCAGACTATCGACATCTGAGGAAAAAAGAGTCCGACAGCTCTTAAGTGATGAGGAGCTGGGGGATAGGCGACCCTCACAATTTCTGAGGCACCTCAAGTCTCTCACGGGGGATTCACTTCGTGACGACGAAGGCATACTTCGCCAACTTTGGATGCGTCGCCTGCCCACTCACCTTCAGACCATTTTGGCTGCACAGGATCTTCCATTAGAGGAGGTAGCGGATCTAGCTGATCGCATTATGGAAGTATCTCCTGCAACACCACTTGCTAGTTCCACCTCAGTTGCTGGTATATCATCTCAGCCTGTCACTTCATCTTCAAGCGTCGACCCATTTGCCACTCTTTCTCAGCGCATCGACCAACTCACAGAGCAGGTAGCTTCCTTAACTGCTTATCAGAGACAGGGAAGTCGGTCCAGGTCTCGGACTCCACAATCACGTCAAAGTCGTAGTAGGAGCCCTCAACCTAGGATATGTTGGTACCACCGTATATATAAGGAAAAGGCGTTACATTGTACTACTCCTTGTAACTGGCAACAAGATTTATTTTTAAACATGAACAGGAGTCAGTAAAGGCGACTACCGACTCCTCTCATACCACTTCAAGTCGCCGTTTATTTGTAACAGATTCATACAGTAAGCGACGATTTCTCGTAGATACAGGTTCCGATATCTGCTGCTATCCTAAAAGCGCCCTTCGTTCCCACGCCTATAAATCTGACTTTGTGCTGCAAGCAGCCAATGGCAGTGCTATTACGACGTACGGTACTCTGCGTTTCAATCTCAACCTGGGTCTTCGACGAGTTTTTGCATGGGATTTCATTATAGCTGACGTCAGCGTTCCTATCATCGGTTCCGATTTCCTCGCTCATTACAATCTCTTGCCAGATTGTACCCATAGATGTCTAGTCGATGGAACAACCGGTCTTCGTCATCAGATTCAGTGCGCGTCATCTAATCAGCCCAGCGTCAAGACCATTATTAGTGATTCTAAAGACTCACCCTTTCTAACAATTTTACAGGAATATCCGGAACTCACTCGTCCACCCGGTCTTCCTCGCGATGTTAAACATAATACAGTGCATTTCATTAACACTACTGACGGACCGCCATTATCATGCCGTCCTCGTCGCCTTGCTCCCCAGAAACTTCAGATTGCCCAAAAAGAATTTGCCGACATGGTTGCTGCCGGTACTGCTAAACCATCCAGCAGTGCTTGGTCTTCACCGCTCCATTTAGTTCCTAAAAAGGATGCCACTTGGAGACCTTGTGGTGACTACAGGGCCTTAAATGCGCGCACTATTCCTGATAGATATCCGATTCGGTACATCGGGGACATTTCACACAATCTGGTAGGAGCCACCATCTTCAGTACAATTGATCTGATAAAAGCCTACCAGCAAATTCCTGTCAATCCAGCTGATATATGCAAGACAGCCATTACCACTCCTTTCGGACTATTCGAATTTCCCTACATGACGTTTGGTCTCAGAAACGCTGGTCAAACATTCCAACGTTTCATCGATGAGGTCACACGGGGACTTACTTTTTGCTTTCCATACATCGACGATATTCTCATCTATTCGCGCGACGCCGCTCAGCACGCAGAACACCTGCGACTGCTTTTTCAACGCTTAGCTCAATACGGAATCGTCATCAACATTGCCAAATGCAAGTTCGGTGTTCCAGAAATTACATTCTTGGGCAGTCACATTTCATCAGCAGGTACACAACCACCATCAGATCGTGTCGAAACCATCAGGAATTTTCCCTTACCTGAAACAGCTCATGGCCTACGACGGTTTCTGGGTATGTTAAACTTCTATCGTCGTTTTATACCCAGAGCCGCTGAATTTCAGGCCCCGTTAATTAACATCCTGGCAGATGCCAAAATTAAGGGTTCCAAACCAGTTCCTTGGACACCCGATCTGGAACAAGCATTTCACAAGTGTCGCGATAGTTTAGCTGACGCTACTATGTTGTGTCACCCAGTGGCGGACGCTCCACTTGCTCTTTTCACCGACGCTTCCACTACACACGTAGGTTCATGTCTACAACAGAAAGTTGGAAATTCTTGGCAACCTCTCTCATTTTTTAGCAAGAAGTTGACGCCTAAACAGGCATCGCTTCCTGCTTATTACAGAGAGTTACTCGCCATTTACGAAAGCGTGCAACATTTTCGCCACATTCTTGAAGCACAACATACCACTATTTACACAGATCACAAACCACTCATTTACGCATTTTCTCAAAAACGAGAAAAACTTCCTCCACCTCAATTAAATCAACTGTCATTCATTTCACAGTTCACCACCGACATCGTGTATATTAAGGGCAATGAGAATGTTGTTGCCGACACGATGTCGCGTATTGAGGCCATTCAGCTGGAGGATGATTATCATTCATTAAGTCGCTCTCAACAAACAGACCAAGAGTTGCAAGCATTAATATCCAATAATACTTCATCTTTAAAATTAGAACATGTCACAATTTCCGGAACTGACATCATTGTCATATGCGACACGTCCACTGGCAAACCTCGTCCATACTTACCATCTTCATTTAGACGCAAATACTTCGACAGGTTACATAACATGAGTCATCCAGGTTCTCGAGCCACACTTCGTTTGATATCTGATCGTTACGTTTGGCCCTCGATGAACAAAGATTGTAATTCCTGGACTCGAACTTGTATTCCTTGCCAACGCAGTAAGGTCATCCGGCACATCTCTACGCCCGTTGGTCATTTCATTAATCCATCCGGCCGTTTTCAACACATTCATATTGACATCATCGGTCCACTTCCTGTCAACAAAGGCATGCAATACTGCCTGACAGCCGTGGACAGATTTACACGCTGGCCGGAAGTCTGGCCGATGCCAAATATGTCTGCAGAAACAGTTGCAGATACTTTTGTCAGCGGTTGGATATCGCGATTTGGCGTCCCTATTACTGTTACCACGGATCAGGGTCGTCAATTTGAATCCGCTTTATTCCGTCACTTAATGCAGTCCTGTGCAACTCGTCGAATCCGTACAACTAGTTACCATCCCTGCGCAAACGGCATGGTGGAACGCATGCACCGTCAACTCAAAGCAGCTTTAATGTGTCACGGCGATTTATGGATAACCGCGTTACCTTGGGTTCTTTTAGGTATGCGCACAGCAGTTAAAGAGGATCTAAAGACCTCCTCGGCTGAACTTGTATTGGGAGAAACTCTTCGCTTGCCGGGTGAATTTGTTACACCATCTGTCACTACATCAACCATCAAAGATCCTACCGACTTCATCACACAGCTTCGTGCCACCATGAATAATATCATGCCCACGCCAGCGTCACATCATTCCAATCCGCCAACTTTCATTTATAGAGATTGGCCTTCTGCCACTTACGTTTTCCTAAGAGATGACAGCATTCGGCGTCCTTTGCAGGCTCCTTATACAGGGCCTCACAAAATTTTATGTAAGCGTGATAAAACCGTCACTCTTGAAGTCCAG